GAACTGAAAATCTCTTTCCATGGTGCCAGAATCAAAGGCAATCTGCAGGTGTGAGAGCTGGGAGTGATGCCAGGGTTTTTTTTTTTTGTTCTGATTTCATTTTTGCTGAGTCAGAAGCTGTGGCTAGGATCTGCCAGAAAACAGAGATATCATATAAACTCTATACAACTGAAATATGACCAGCGATTTTCAACCAGTGTGCCACAAGAAATTTCAAAACATGCAATACCTTATTATTTAGTCAGGGGCACTGACTTCTTTTCTCTTAGATTGTCAAATTGAAAAATAACAATAGCCAGCACAATGAATCAAAATTATACGTATTATTTTGTCAGATCAGCAAAAAATGTATTTTTGGTGTGCCACAGAATTTCAGTAATTAATTTATGTGTGCCACGAGATGAAAAAGTTTGGGAAAATTGCTGGATTAGACTAATTAATAATCCTATATAATAAAAGCCTAATATGCTAAATGTCTGGTCGACTGGTCAGCCGTTCAACCAATCAAAGCGTGATATGCTAAGGCTGCTCAACCGCTTGCTATGACATGCACTGACCACCAGGGGGCAGACACTCTGACCAGTAGGTTAGCTTGCTGCTTCGGTCCAGCCGATTGGGACTGAGCAAGACGGGCCAGACATGCCCTGGAGCCCTCCCACAATCCCTCCCCAGCTGGACAACCTCCCATGTCCCTCCCTGGCCCTGATTGTGCACCAGTGGGGTCCCTCAGCCTGGCCTGCACCCTCTCACAATCCGGGACCCCTCAGGGGATGTCGGAGAGCGAGTTTCGGCCCGATTCTGCAGGCCAGGCTGAGGAACCCCACTGGTGCACAAATTCATGCACTGGGCCTCTAGTCACATAATAATTAGTTGTGGATTTTCCCCTTCTGCAGCTAAGTTTGGGCTGATAATAGTTTTGTATCCTTCCCAGGTTTTGGCTGTTGACAGTAGATATTTGCCACATAACTAAAGGCACCATCCAAAACCACTGTTGGGCAAGAGCTACCTGGATCCTGTTTGTTGTCCTGCGTAAACATTGAGAAAACAAAATTCCATCTCTACCCATGAAGAGATATACCTGCTTTTCTCATTTGCGGGACGATGTTAGTCAAAACTGATGCACACCAGTTGGGAAATTGTTTATAGATGTGTGGTGGCAATGTATTCTCTTTTGGAGCCTTGACAGATGAAAGAGATGCCCAAACCCTTTAATCTCATCCATAGCAATAAGAGACCACTGGAGTAGGCTTGTTATGTCTATGCTTGAATTCTCACCACAAATCAAAGAGGTCACATTCACATCTTGCTGTGAAGGTTATATTTATCCTTCTCAGGTGTCTGTGAATTGATTGTGAGAATGGTTTCATTAAACACCAGAAGATACAAGGCTCTCAAACTGAAATTCTTTGGGGTTTCTTATAGCTAATTTTAATTCTTTTGATTACTATATGACAACTTTCTTTTCCAGCTCATTAGACGAGCACAGAGGAAAAAATGGTTGTTATTAATGAATTTCTACCCTTTAATACATTTTGCAAGAGACCAATAACCTACTGTTTTCTGGCTTGCTACATTTATCGTCACACCATTCTTTGCAAGAAGCTTTAGAATTTTCTTGATTGTTTATAATAAGCTAACAGTGATTTAAGATGTTGGGCGATGGTTTAGAAAGATTATAAAACATCTGTGTCAGCACTAGCAACTTCCTGAAATACAAGTGGTACAAATTGTTCAAAAGTTAAGCAACAAGTATGCCTAAGTGATGAATGAGCTTTGAGACTTTGTGATGAAGGGAGTCATTTAAGGAAGACAATCGTATCAGGTCTGTGTGGTAACGAGAAAGGCAAATGCTCTTAGAAGTATTTCTTCTCAAACATGGAAACTTCGGAATGGATAGCATGTTCCAGAATCAACTGAGATAATTTGGGGCATACCTATATAGCCTGCCTCCAAGACAGCAGACATGAAAAATAGGGTTCAAGAAAAAAGAATTTGTACATGATATCTGAACACAAAAAAATCATAAAATCAAATAAGTGAAATAATTTTACCTGCCATGCTTAAGTCATTATTATGCAACTAATAATAGTGTTTTAGTAATGATTATAAGCCAATTTTCTAGCTCTGATGGTTCAGAGAGTCTTTTTTGTACTTCTCTAATTCCATGACTATTAGTGTCAGCTACTTGTTGCTGTAGCAGGAGATACATGTAATGCAATCATGTGGGAAGGGCATCTTCTGTTTTTAATTGGAGCCATGCTGGAAATCATTGGGGGGACTTCTTTTTAGAAGAACTAAAGCTGAAAAAAGAAAAAACAGATATCCTCACCCCAAATACTAATTGAAGGCATATTATACAAAAATAAATGAATCTCTCCTAAAAGAGACAAAAAAAAAACACACCCTATCTGTATATCGTCTTTCAAAGTCCCCATTTTCTGCAAGTTTGGCAACTTTTGGCTTGTTTTTGTCACCAACTCTGATACTGGGTTGTCTCAGGTACAAGTTCATTGTTTCTTCTTCTTCCAGGCTGCCTGCTCTTGTATTTCTAAGTCTTGACATTTTGCAAATTAGGATAGGCACCCAAAGAGTGTTATATTTTCTTATGGAAGAAATAAGTAGACACACAGTGTTCTACAGCTTAAAATCTGGTCTGCATCCACATCCACATGGCCAAGCTCCATGTTGCTAGATAAAAACTCAAAATGATTTTTATTGTGGCTGCAGGAGCTCACTTCTCTGAGATGCAGTTCCATTTGTCATATGAAAATATAACATGAATCCATTAGTAGAGCATACAGTGCCATGTCAATAACTTTTGGGTATTCATAAAACCTGAGGACCAGGATAGATTCTGAAAGTCATCTTATGGCTGAAAAATAGGATCAGAAGAAACCTTTAGTTGTCACCTCACTAGTCAACTCACTAATGACTGCATCCTGGTTTACAAAGGAGGCCATGCAAGAAAAAACAACAACCCACGAGTGAATCAATATCTGACAGGATGATCAAATGAGAAACTCTCTGTCACAGTTTCAGCTGAGGCTCCTGAGACCTAGAGCAAACAACAGTAGCCAAGTAGCTTCACATTCCGAAGCAATGTCTGGACAATATATGCAAAACATGCAAAAGTGTGGACAGCATCTCGCTTCACAAACCCTTGTTTCATGAAAAGGACTGGGAAATAAAGATGAAGAGCGAGAAATTCTATGTGAGAAGTTTTCCAAATACTTTGTGGTCTTCTTCCCTCTGGGGAGCCCCTCCAGCCTTGCTCTAAGCCAGTGGTTCTCAACCTTCCTAATGCCGCGACCCTTTAATACAATTCCTCATGTTGTGGTGACCCCCAACCATAAAATTATTTTCGTTGCTACTTCATAACTGTAATTTTGCTACTGTGATGAATCGTAATGTAAATATCTGATATGCAGGATGTATTTTCATTGTTACAAATTGAACATAATTAAAGCATAGTGATTAATCACAGAAACAATATGTAATAGGAAAGAAGTCCCTGGCTTCCTCTCTCTTAGGCAACACCTGTGGGGGTCGCGACCCACAGGTTGAGAACCACTGCTCTAAGCTAAGTGAGATGGGGTTTTAAGAGACCAACTTGGAGAGATGGACATGTTGGGGATTGGGGTGCATTAGAACTGGGATAAGACATTGGCTAAAGTTCAGCTTCCCTGTAGCAGAGAAAGTGAGAGAGGAAGAGCGAAAGTGAGAGCGAGAGCAAGAAAGAGCAAGAAACAGAGAGAGGGCTGACCTGGAGCTAACTGTATTTCCAGCAACAGCTGAGCAAGGTTGCCTGGGTGTTTCTTGTGGACCAAATCTGGGCAACTGAATGTAGCAAGCCCAGTGCCATTTTGAATATCTTCCAAGAGGATGCCTAGAGGGGCAATGTGACCTCCCCCCTCCCCCCAAAAAAGAAGGGTGGGCAATTGGAAGGCAAAGGGCCAAGGAAGGAATGCAGCAGTGAGTGGGATTGGCCTTTCCCCAGGAAGCTATCTCTGGGGGGCCCAGTGGGATCTGTCTTCAAGAAAGTGCACAAAAGCACCCTAAAAAAGAAGGAATTAGCATTCTATCCCCAGAGAGCACACTGATGATTATGCTTACGCTAGTCAAGTAAGACATGTTGCCCTTAATATCTCCTCCCTAACCGGACCCAATGAAGAGGGTGGGAGAAGAAAAGTGGGGAAATAGGAAAGAAGTCCCTGGCTCCCTCTCTCCTATGTCAGGCTTTCAAGATGAGGCAGGTCTGAGCTGGGGGAAGGAAATCATGTTACGTGGGCATAGAAACAGGCCCGGGCAATTTTAGTATCGAAGTGATATTCTTCTGTGCCTGAAAATGACGGGGGTCCTTTGATGATATGAAAGTGGTTTTCGAGTTATGGGATTTACCAAGATTTTATTCAAGTGATAGGGAGGAAATATCCACAGAGGGATTTGAAAGGACAAGGGAAAAAGGATAAAATTATTTTCTATCATCACCTTATCAGCTAAGCCTGTTTAATTACTATTACAAATAACATCATTTTCACCACTGGGGGGGAAATCAGTCAAAAGACAGGCCCTCCTGTTGTGCACTGACTACACCAAAGGAGGAAGATGATTTGTTAGTCATCATATTAAATGCTCTGGATCTTCAAGCTGCTTCCACTAAAGGAATCTGGCACGTTTTGGGACACCATTCCTCAGGGGAGGCTCAGAGTCTATTAGACGGGCAGGTGTTCTCCAGGTGGCCATCTCCTTCTTGCACTGACCTGAGATCAAGTTCCCAAGTGTCGATGTAAACACTATTTTTTTTTTAAAAAAAAAAAACACCTCATTTTGCAGAGCTTTGAGTTATGATTACCACATGCTTCGGCCAAGTGATGAACAACTCATCTAATCTCCTCCTGACATAGTTTTTTAATGCACTATAAGACTGACCATGCTATTAAAAACACAATGAAAAATTTTAAAAATCAAAAGCTACAAGAGTCAGAAAGCCAGATAAATACCTCATGGAAATGGCAGCCACAGGCTCCCTGGAAAAACTCTTTGTAGCGCCCCATGGTTATAGTGAAGGTGTCCACCACTTCGTAGCCATACTTCTTTGCAGTGTCCAGAATAATCACATTTTCTTTCCATAAGTTCTGAACTTCCCTCTGTATTGCAGAGCAGAAGAGTGAGAATTTTTATTAAGAGCATTGTTTACGATTTACTAAATCAGATAGAAATTGTGTAAAGGGCATCTTGTTCTACAGATTGGACTTATTTTGAGATAAAGAATTAATTTTACCTATATTTCTTAAATAAAGAGGTGTCCTAATTTTTATTCAAAATATAAATGTAAACACCTGTGTATGTATAAAACAGCAATACATAAATATGTACAGTGATTTACAGTTTAGAACTTTCCCTACCATCATAAGTCATTTTTTTTTTTTTTGCCCACAAAGATCCTCTGAAACCTCTAAAATTCTCAATTTAAAAGCCAAGATTTGAAATCACAAATGTTATCCCCATCTATTTGGATTTTTATTCATTTGAATATTAATTAATATATGTTTCGTGCTTAGCTCTGTGCTGAGGGACAGGAATATAAGAATAAATAAATCATGGGCCCTGATCTTAAGACCTTACATTCTAATAGGAGAAAGATATGCATACATTTACTAAGTCTTTCATGGCAGGCAAACCTACCAGGCTCTGGCTAGTAGAGAAAAGGGAATAGCTCTGCCAGGTGCAAGGGGACAGCTGGACAGAGAGACTTGGAGAGGTGACTCCTGAGCAGAGACAGGACTGCCAGTGGGGGGTGGGGAGGGAGGGGAAGGAGTGTGCTTCTAGGAGCAGCAGAATTGAGTGCTGCTGCTTCTGGGTCATATTCCTCCCTCTCTCCCTCCTTCCCTCCCATGTTCAAGGTTGGAGTTCTAGTTGAGGTCTACTGTCAAGAGGAGGAACTCCTCCTCTACCCTAGCTCAGGATTCCTCATTGGCTTGGCCAACACTTTCTCAGACTGACCTGTTCTCTGAGTCTCTTCCTATGTACTTCATCCTTCTTCCACAGCCTTCATGTCAGACTCATTACACCTAAACACAGGTCCCAATACATAGTGGACTAAAAAACATCTGGTGCAAGATTGAGTGCTCTGCATTGGGTGCTGTTGTCTGAAAGTCTTCCTGTCTTCTCCTCTTCCCTTTAGTCTTCCCAGGCGCTCTCCCTCTAAACCCCCTTCTTCTGCTCATCCCATCTTAGTGTCTGTTTCTTGGCAAACCCACTCTGACAAAGAGAGGGAATTGCACTCTCTCTGTCTTTTCTAAAGAAAAAAAACTATTTTCATTTTCCATGTAAAAATGCAAATTACTTGCATTTGTTAATCCAACCGCAAAGTAAAAGCAGTACAAATACGTCTAATATCCTGTCTCCACTGTGCTCACATTACTATTTTTATGTGACATTCAAAGAAGAGTGTTTCCCCCCAAATAAAGATCGTGAATAGCAGAGGTCCATAAAGAAGAAATACGGAGGAAGGAGACAGATGTGAATTTTGTCTGTGCTATCGCATGAAAAATGATCCTCAGGCTTGTTCTTGTCTAGTACACGCATTTTCTCAACTCTAATATGTCTAATTATGAAGGATACATGGAACTTTAGAGTAAGCAGTGTCTAGAGAAAGGTCAGTTCTCTGGGAAATAGACAATTAGATGGAAATTTGCATGCAGGAGACTAACAGGGATCAACACCTACGGAAGAGTGATGTGGTTGAAACAGGCTTTGTGGATCCCACCAGGGGTTCTAGAGCTGGGAAGGATCTTCTGAGATAATGGCCCACATTAAGGAAAGGGGGTGGAGTCTTGGTACCCTTGCCCCTGGCAAGTTGGGTTTCTGCAGCAAAAGGCAGTCCCTGCTAGGATTCACGTGTAAGTCGTTATTAGACCACACAGCCAGAGCCCCGGGGAATGAATGTCTAGTCCTAAAGGGGCAAACTGGGAGCAGCCAAATCATACAAAGTGTCACTCACCCACTCGGGAATAGGTATTTTTTGAGAGTCTACTACGTGCTGACAATGGTGTTTTGCGCTAGGGGTACCAGAATGAGCAATGCAGCCCTCCCTTCCCCGTCTCTCCAATCACAGAGATTATTCTAGCAGGGGAGACAGGCAACCAAGGACTATTATCAGATGAGTGACATGCATGAGGACACAAATCGATATTATAGGAGCTCATAGCAGGAACAGACCATGGAGCCCCATGTGCCCATTAAGTCTCCCCAGAGGAAATAGCATGTAAACTAACACTTTAAGGGTGCTTGGAGGTTACCCACAGGAGGAGGTAGTGAAAGAGTGGGCTCCAAGAAAAGGGAGTAGTGATTTCAGAGACCTGAAGGTGACTGAGAGCATGACATGCTTGAGAAGCTAGAACATGCTCAGCATGACCGAGCTCGGTGGTGTTGTGAGTGTGTCTGTGTGTATAGACATAGGGAGACCAAGGGATAAGTCTACAGAGGAAAGCAGAGGCCCAGTTCTGAAAAGCCATGCAAGCATATGATGAGGAGTTCAGTTTTATTTTCTGCTTCCATTGCTATTGTCTCTTTCATTCTATTGTTTTCCACACCCTCTGGTTCCATCCTTTTGTCTTTACTCAGTTTTAAAGGACTGATGAACACCATCAAAGCCCAGGGGGAGGCATAATGTTTAACACGATATCTGGTACATAGTAGGTGCTGAAGAAATGTTCGCTGTCTGCCGAGATGAACTGATTCAAACTTAATAGACTAAATATAAGCAGCAGCTACAGAACTCCAGTTCCTGTGAGGAGCTGCAGTCAAAGAAGCAAAGTAGAGCTACCAGAGTCCTCAATAAGGAGTTGCAATACTGACCTGTAGTCTTCAGATAACAGTAAAGGGGATTCTACTCGTAACCTATCGCAAAAATTATCAAAGGATCCCTCTTCTAATCCCCAACGGTCTAAAACTCTTCAGCTACCCCAGATACTAAATACCTCAACCCCTCAGCCCATCCTAACTCCAAGGAGATGAATTTGGAGGTTCTACTTGGGCCACTTTCTACCACCTGTTCTCCTGCTTTTGTATCATAGAACCGGCATCTATGCAGGCGTAGTTTCAAGAAAGGGGCGGGGGGTTGTGTAGTATGTGCTGGGGAAAGCTAGGAGTGCTCAACATTGACACAAAAGTAAATCTCACTCGGCTTATGTATTTAATGGGCAGCTTACTGTCTCCCCAGTTCCCAGTGCTCCTGGCCTCCCCGGAGCAATCACACACAAACCCCACTGCCAAGAATTTTCCTGGCTTGAACAATCCCAGCTGGTTCCTTTACCTACAGATGTCTTTCTGTTCTTTTCTGAGACTTCAATTCAGTGTTGTGACTAATTTACTAAATTCTATAAGAGCTGGTCAGAGCCTCTAACTCCTTTCATTTATGACTCTCTAGCCAGCGTTATACTACTAATGATACTACTTCAAAGATGATTTTTAAAGCCATCAGTCAGATATCATCTTCAAAAAAACCCACTCTTTCCCAAAGTATTCATTGATACTGACAATTTCATTCGTGGTTTCAGCATGAGCCTCCAAAGGTGTCTGAAACGTTAGTAGGGTAAGGAGGTACCTAAAGCACAATCTCTCTCATCTACCCTCAGTTCTTACTTTTTCATAGTTTGGCACCCCCTTTCTTCTTTTATGAACTCAAAGTATGTACAACACACATGGATTATGGGCTCCTTATTTCCAGGAATAATTCTAACTGATTTAAAATCATAATCCACAAGTATATTATCTCCCTTGATTTTTTATAAAGGTTGCTAAATATTATGTGGTGCCTTCCAGACATCAACAAAGACAAGAAGCATGAAGTTCACACAGCCTGGGACGAAATGGCCTTACCTGTGTTAAGAAATGCACTCCATCCACTGGCAGATGAAATCCGATTCCCAAAGTTTTGATGATCACAAGGATATTGAGTAAATTTTCCCTGTGAAATAATTAGAATTCTAAAGTCAAGAGCATCAATTATATTTCTAGATGATCATGTTTACATAAACGAATACATGAACGTTCTTTAGAATGTGGTAATTGGCAGACAGGACTAATTTCTCATTTTATAGATTTGATGTATGCTCATTTTTTGTGTGGATAGAGTTTTACATGTCAGTGGGCATGTTTTGATCTGTAGTAAATGTAAATTTAAATTTGGATACTGAAGAGCCATCTTGTGATTGGATACAAAGGTATTTTGAAATATTTTAAACAAGACTTTAAATACTTACTTCTAAACAAGTTGGTCTTTAAATAAAATCTTGATAAAATTCCATCAAATCAAGAGTAATTTTTTTTTAACTTAGAATCCTAATGACAATTACTGTTACAGAAATGTACCTCTTTAGAACCTTGTGAATAATTTGCAGATGATTGGAATTAAGCCACTGAACACCACCAACGACCAATACAGTCTGGCCCGAATTCTCCAGAGGACGTGATCTGAAATCCAGAAAGAAAAACAACACATGTTGCCTTGAAACAGATGGTAAATATTTTAACAGCATTGCCTCACATTTCATTGAACCATATCTGACATCCTGATCACAGGACCTCTTTGTCATTTCCAACTCGTTTTCAGCCATATTACTTGCTTTACGCTTTTCAGCACCTTTGATGTAGGGCAGCGGTTCTCAACCTGTGGGTCACGACCCCTTTGGGGGTTGAACGACCCTTTCACAGGGGTCGCCTAAGACCATCGGAAAACACATATATAATTACATATTGTTTTTGTGATTAATCACTATGCTTTAATTATGTTCAATTTGTAACAATGAAAATATATCCTGCATATCAGATATTTACATTACAATTCAAAACAGTAGCAAAGAAAATAATTTTATGGTTGGGGGTCACCACAACATGAGGAACTGTATTAAAAGGTCTCGGCATTAGGAAGGTTGAGAACCACTGATGTAGGGTGAGCAATTATGACCACTAGTGAGAAACAAGTGCATTGTGTCACTGTGCTCTTCTCAATGGTTCCATTGTACCTTTGCAAGAGATGCTCAAGGGCCTTTTCAAACGTTGGTCTCAATGAAGGGCTTATCCAGAACTGAGGATAGTAGGAATAACTGATCAAAGTCTTCCCACCATTGACATTGTGGTAGAACTTAGTGCCATGCACCTTCTGCCATTCCTGCAAGGTTTCGTTCAGTCTTTCAATCAGATAGTACATCATCCCTCTGTTGGTTGAATCGCCAATGAAAAGAATCTATAAATTAAAAAAAAATTTTGCTTTCAAATATGATGTTTACATGGTGTAGCATATAATATAAAATACTTTGTTGAATATTCATAAACCCATATGTCTATGTGTTTGAAGGACAGTCCTTCAAATTGTTAGAAATGACATATATATACATATATATCCCATGTTCAAGGCTGTTAAAGCTTGTTGTTTACCCATATCTTCAGAAAAAAATCACTTCTACTGTCGTGGTAAACAACCTGCTTCCCTATTTATAATGGTCTGGCCCTCTAGCAACTTCAGCGCGAAATTATAGCTAATTTACCTACAAACGTCAGGTGGTCATAATAATCTGGCCACTCAGTGTATTTTCCCCCAACCTGTTTATTTTTCTTTTCCATATTCCTAGAAATGACAATCTACTGACACACTAATATCTTTAAAGCTTCTTGCTTCAAGTTCAAATTCTCTGTCTCCCCTATCTTTACTTTCTCATCTAATCAACTTAACAAGTTTTATTGATTCAAATAGGCACAAAGGAGTTTAGTGCTATAAGAATACTTAGAGATTTCCTAATCTCTTTTTATTGCATACATGAGCAAATTTGGAATCCACGGAGGTTACATAGCTCAGAGGAGGTCATGCCACTACTTGAGAAAAAGCCACAGGACTAGGATCTGCTTTTCTGAACAGCTATTTATATCCCAGGGTGAAGATCCTAGTGCCATTTACATGGAATCTCTTCCACTCATACTCTCCTGCCCATTCCTCCAGCACAGCCCTGCTTCAGGCCCCCATCACTTCAAAGCTGGGCTATTGTTGCTAATGTTTTCCTAGTGGGCGGGCCTTCCTTCTTGCACAATGGCTGCCCTTTCTAATTCGTTCTGCACACCGTGTTACTGGGATACATTTCCAAATGCCTAGCTCTGGTCATCTTACTTTCATGCTCAAAACCCTATTGGCTCCTATTTCCTATAGAATCAAGTCTAACCTCTTAGGATCAGCTAACATTTGCTGAATTGTTACTGCATATCAGGCTTTGCTAGGTGGAGATTTCACACGGTACTCACTTTTAATCATCATAATTGTGAGGACTGAACTATTAGTTCTGTTTTGCAGATGAGCAAGTTGAGGCTCAGGGAGATTGAAGTCATAAATCTAGTAAATGGGGAACACAAGACTCAAACCTAGGTCCCTTACCTCCAAGTGCAGGGTCAATGGCCCCATCCTCTCAACGCTCCCTCTCAGATTCCTACTTTTTCACTGAGCACGATTTGCACTCAACAGCATCTGTTTTTCCTCGTGCTAATCCACCTGCCTAGAAAGCTTCGCTCTCTCTGCATTCCCACCTGAGTAAATGCTACACACCTCCAGACCCGACACAAATGTCCCAGCAAGAATGACCTTTGCTGTCCTCTGATTTCATTACAGTTTTTATTTCCATTGCAGATTTTACCGAAGACTACATGAAATTATGGCTTTTTTGTCTCTTTTTTTCTCACATCATATCATGAAGTATTTGATATCTAAATTCTATTTTCCCCTACAGTTCAATGCATGAACTTTAAAAGCACTTATTGAGTCCAGTCGGTGTGGCTCAGTGGTTGAGCGCCGACCCAGGAACCAAGGAGTCACTGGTTTGATTCCTGGGTTGCAGGCTTGATTCCCCAGTAGGGGGCATGCAGAAATCAACCTATTGATGTTTCTTTCCCATTGATGTTTCTGTCTCTAACCCTCTCCCTTCCTCTTTAAATACAAATACAAATAAATTTGTAAATAAAAAATACAAATAAATTTAACGACTTTGTTATGATACATATTTGACTTATAAACTGGTTTGAAAAGAAAATATATTTTTAAATATTTTATTGATTTTTTACAGAGAGGAAGGGAGAGGGATAGAGAGCTAGAAATATCGATGAGAGAGAAACATCGACCAGCCGCCTCCTGCACACCTCCCACTGGGGATGTGCCCACAACCAAGGTACATGCCCTTGACCGGAATCGAACCTGGGACCTCTCAGTCCGCAGGTCGACGCTCTATCCACTGAGCCAAACCGGTTTGGCAAGAAAATATTTCTTGAACTGAAAGTCAAAGGGATTTTTGTCTTAATGTTTTTGTATAGGTTTATTTTGTTCTTTAGTTTTTTTCTCTCTTTGTTGGGATTTCTATTTCCATGAGCTATGCACCTACTTCTGATTTTAATAGCAGGCATTGCCATAATTTCCAGGCACCACTGCACTTGCCCATCCACAGGAAACTTAGTGAGACTCTGTAAAGGTATGTTCTTTTCGTGGTAAGTATTTCTGTAGCTGCATGAAGAAATCCAGCTGAAGAAATCTGTATGAAGAAATCCAGGGAGCACCTGCAATTTGCCTTCGGATCAAACACTGTTACCATAAGCATCATCAGGCTAAGCTGAATATCATAAGGTGTCAAGGCCTCAATCACTGATCCTCTCAGTAGAGTTCTATTTGGGGCAATAAAATTCCAGCATAAAAAAGAATTCTTGAAATCCCTCTTACTGGCCAAGATTTCTGATTTTTAGAAGAGAACTTTGAATAATCAGGAAAGCTCTTAATTTTAGATATTAGTAATTATGCAATTCCATTTGTATTAGACTGCTGGGCTATAACAACAATGTACCACAGATTGGGTGACTTACATAGAAAAAAATTTTTTTTCATGATTCTGGAGACTAGAAATCCAAGATCAAGGTATTTGCGTGGTTGGGTGCTTCTGAGGGCCCCTCTTCTTGGTAGATAGATGGTCACCTCCTTCATGGGTCTTCACATGGTCTTTCTTCTGTGTGTGTCTATGACCTAATCTTTTTTTTTTTATAAGGACACCAGTCATATCGGATGACAGCTAACTCATATGACCTTATTTTACCTTAATTATCTTTATAAAGGCCCTCTCTCCAGATACAGTCACCTTCAGAGGCACTGGGAGTTAGGACTTCAACGTATGAATTTGGTTGAGCGGGAACACAATTCAGCTAATAATACCTATAATGAGCCGTTAGGATCTAGCTTTTAAACTAGATTGCCACCAGAGGTGTTTCTTACGGGTTCTTTTTATTTTAGTATCAAGATACAGTCCCTCCTAGGTATCTCCAGGCAGCCAGTCAGATCACTGGTGTCTGTGGAGTGGGCTTCAGAGAGAAATACAGAGGTTAAAAAAAATCAAAGTAGCTGCATGTTCCTGAGAGAAAAGACATCTAGATTAGCAATCTTTTGAAGATGCAGTCCACCAAACTATGTCAGAAGCAAAGAGTCATGTCTCAGAATTCTAGGTGCTGTTATTTATTAACTAGACTGTCCAAGGCAAATTCTGTGACCTCCACAGGAGTTCATCACTTTATGTGCAACAGGGGGATGTCAGTAGCCCACCTTCGAGGACTCCGGTGAGATTTAAAAGGCTTGTCTGATTCCTGACACCCAGTAAGCTCACCAGGAACGTGAACTAGCACTAGGACATGGGGAACGCAAGCAGCGATTTTGAGCTCTGCCAGCGTGCCTTCCAGTGCATTGCGAGGCTCTTTAAATGAGCTCATCTAAAGAACAGGTCACAGAAGACGGGAGATGTCTAATCACAACAGTCTCTTGCTTGCCCTCCCAAACCTGCTACAGCACTTGTATGGTGAAAGGTGAAACTGAAGCTCTGGGAGAGAGAACTGGAGGAGACCTGTGCAAACCAACACTGAGAACTGCCGTCAGGTGTCCATTGCTGATGGGTGACTAACAAGAGGCACCTGGATGGGAAAAGGCAATGTTGCCACCGCCATCTGCAAAACGAGTTCGTCTAAATACTGCAAATTCCTAGATGGCATTTCTCAAGCCCAGTAGACACACTCTGTGAAGACAGCTTTCTAAGGAATGATTTTATCCCAGCGCCATTCTAGTTAGGGAAGGTGGGGATGATCAATTATAACTACAATGAAGATGCAGTTGTGACTTTAATTTTTTTCTGTAGGTGACAGTTTTTATAAGAGGTTCATTGGTATTCCTAACTAGATGATGTCTAACTTCAAAATGTCAGCATTTTAAGTGCACACACACACAATTGAAAAATATCAAGAATTAGAGTGGCTCTTTTCAGTCAGATGATTCATATTCAATCTTTCTATCTTTTAAAGCATTCATTTTGATGAATTATTTAAAAGGAAATTTGTTGGTCAACTTCTACGTCAAATCACCATAACAAATATTCACCATAACAAATATTCACAACTAGCCATATAATCTTTATTTTTATTTTAGTTTTTTCTTTTTCTTTTTTTCTCACTAAACTTTGTTATTTTAATGGGTCTCAAAATTCTGTGACAGATTTTTGGTCATGTTGTTTCCATTAAAAAGTAGATTTTAAAAACTAATAACTTAAAAACTGCCACACACACAAAAGAACCAAATGGTTCACAAAACATTCTCCTTTCCTTCTGAAGGTTTTACGATGCATTGTAATCATTAACCAGTCTTTTACTATTAAACTTAAATCGCCAATTGAGACACACAGTTCTGAGACCGTTCTTCCACCACTGATTGAGACTGGGGTGGCAGGTGTTGGGAATAATATTCATTTAGCTTCTGAGCTTTCTGGGCAGACTTGGTGGCTTTGCCAGCTCCAGCTGCCTTCTTGTCCACTGCTTTGATGACACCCACAGCAACTGTCTGTCTCATGTCATGAACAGCGAAATGGCCCAGAGGAGGGTAGTCAGAGAAGCTCTCAACACACATGGGCTTGCCAGGAATCATATC